GCGCGGTCCTACCGTCCTACCGTCGTAGCTAACGTTACAAATTTGCATGACAGGCAGAATCTCTATAAGATGGCAAGGAACAGTTACCACGTGTAGACTTCAAGATATTAGGCGGGCTTTGGTTTACGTAGCACTTTTAGTGAGTAGCCCCTCAACGTCGCATAGTGCTGTTTTACAGGATGCCGAGTCGCGCAAGGCAGTGGTTGTTAGGTTAGGTCGGCTTAGGCACAAAGGTGAATGGCGCACGTTCGAGGCTAAGAGTAGCTAGCCCAAAGAATTGCTAGCGGGTTTACACGTCGCAGCCTTTCGTTCTCTGGAACTGTCTCTTTTCGTTATGGTTGTAACGTAAGCAGCCTTCCAGGAGTGAACTGTGACGAAAGTATGCTGTTGTGTTTGGGCCCGGGGTAACTCGAGGCCGGACACTTTGCCTTCGTGGTAGGAAACCGCCATGTTAGTTTCGCCCGACTCTCTGGTAATGGTGAGTTGGCGTTCGTCCAGTCCTTCGCAGAAGACCAGGAGTCAATCCTTCAGCTACGCCAAACTGTCTGCCCAATTTGGGTGGCATTTATGACCCTGCCATGCCTGTTCTGCAAGAAGTCACAGCGCAGGTAGAGCGCAGAGCAAGAGGCCGCCGAATGCTGACGGAAACTCAGCCAGAGGTTCGCGTTCCTGAAGTCTTTGATATGGCCGCTCCTGATAATACCACTGCTAGCGCAGCGGAGTCAGCCCCTGATACAGAGCCTGAGCAAGAACCATTTTTTACGTACGTTTTCTCTCAGCCAGATGTTCTCCTTGACCCCGCTTGGGAAAGCAGCTTTGTTGTTAGCAAACACGAACTGCGGGAAGAGCCTCCGCACTTGTTTTTTCCTTCCACTCAGTCTCACCTCTTATTAAGTTAAAGACAGCCACCTAAGTCCCACGAAATGGTGGTTGTTTATATGTCTGATGAGCATCAGGCTGTGATTGAGCGCGTTAACAATGTGCTAACTAGAGAGGAAGCTCTAGAGAATTCTGATAGGTGACGGACATCTACGTGTGGTGAAAGAGCTGACTCATTGGCACTTTCACGGTGCTTGGAAGCGCGCGCTGCGTTCAAGTGCCACAAACTTGCTTGCCTGAAAATGAGTCCTTAAATGGACGCCTGTAGGGGGTGTTAGGGATTTGAAGGCTAGGTTAGTGGTGCAAGGTTTTAGGGACGCACAGCCTGTTAAGAATTATGCAGCTGTTACAACCCGATGGGGCCGGCGTTTAGTGTTCATCTTTGTTGTTCAGTTTGGTTGGGAATTGGTGTCTGCAGATGTTTCAGAAGCGTTGCTTGGAGGCATTACTTTTGCCCAGTTGCGTGAAAGTGGTGTAGACCCCGTGCTAAGGAAAGTACAGATGTTGTTACCTCCGGGTGCTGAAGAGCTTATTCGTGCCATTCCGGGGTTTGAAGACTTCAATGGACAGCAAGAATGCTTGGAGATGTCAAAGCAGGGCTTTGGTTTAAAGGAGGCACCTAGACTATGGAGTTCAGCGTTGCAAAGGGTCCTCATCAAGATAGGTCTAAAGGCTGTTCTTGTTGACTCGCAACTTTTCGTCAAAGCTTGCAGAAGGTAGGCTCGTGTTGCTGTTTCTGTACACATTGACGACCTTAAAATGACCAGTGTTCCCGCGCAGATCAAGCAAGCTCTGTCGCTTTTAGAGCAGGCCTTGAGGCGCTTAAGATCGAACGTGACTGTTTTGCGCACTTAGGTCTTAGGCATAAGTTGTTGGAGGACGGCAGTCGATCTGTCGATTTGCGCTGTTACGTCTCTGAGTTGATGCCGCCTCCCGAGGCCGAACTTAAACTGCTTCCTGCAGAGCAAGCTGCCAGTCAGGGGTAGACGCAGCAGTTTATGAGCCTTGTTGGAGGACTTACCTGGGTCGCGCAGACAAGCCCAGACGTTGCAGTCTTTGTAGCCGCATTGCAGCGCCGCCTTAAAGCACCAGTAGTTAAGGATCTTGTCAAGACAAGGTTCTTAAGTACCTAAAAGCTAAGCCTTTGGAGTTGGTTTATCGTAAGATTAAGGCTCCTTGGAAGCTAGTGGTAGTCTCAGATTCTGACTTCAAAGGTGAAGACCAGGATTGCTTGGCAATGCGCTGCTGTGTTATTGCGTTGGCCGCCCGAGATGGCCCCGCCGAGGGATAGAACCAACTTCAGATCCTTGAGATCGTCAGCAAGAAACGAAGCCAGACTTGCAGGTCAACCTTGCAGCCGAATAGGTTCTGCTTGTATCATTAACGCAGCACTCACAGAAGTGTTAGGTGGAGTGTCTTCCGCTGCATCCCTTGCAGCTAAGCAGGACGTAGGTTCACACAGTCTCGCACGAGACGTGGTGATCGACGCCAAGTTTGTTTGGAGTGCTGTCGGAAACGACAAGCCGGAATGCACTGATCAGCTTGTGTTGCTTCGCCCCCGCAAGTTGCGTGAAGTTGTGCGTGACTTTGTGGACAGGTTCCACTGGGTAGATACCCGTAGCATGCTTTCCGATGTTTTGACGAAATGTGTCATTCCTCTACGCACTTAGGAAAGTAGCTCAAACAGGACTGGTGTTGATAGAGCAAGCACTAAGTCATGTACTCATGTCTTTGTACTGCAGCGCTCGAGTGCTTCATAGTGCATGTAACTTGTTGCCCATAGGGTTTGTGTATAGACATTGCAGGACTTACGTAGCATACCGAATCCATTGGAAAGGGTCGTTCAGCTTTGCGTTGTGATCGCACTTACATGTGGGGCTTGAGGGCTTCAGAGGGATATCCGTGTCTCTACTAAGGCATGGGCAATATCTTACCGGTTTTTTTCGGATGGCTAAATTCACTTCTTTGAGGGAGCTTGTGTACGATCTCGTTTTCAAACGCCACTGCAGCCCTTGTCAGCACCCCCCAAACCGCAAATCTTGCCCGACGGAGGACGGAGGCCACGTAATTTTCCAGGCTTTGGAAGAATTATGCCAGAAAAGTCTGCAGAATTTCCACGTCTTTGACAAATCGATTGGCATCCGTCTGCAGGTGCTTTGGCAGCTTTTTTTGGGAACAGTCAATATGGTTTCCAACATGCAACTTTCCAATTCCTATTGGCAAGCCGCACCACGGCCAGAGTTTTCCAAGGAACTGGAAGTTGAAAAATCATCTGGGAAGCCTCCCTGCCCCAAAGCACCGATTTTGCTGGAGACAGGCCGCGCGATTTCTCCAGGTTTTGGCAAATCCCAACTGCAAAGTATCCCTGCAGTGCCTAACCGCAGAGTATCCTTACACTGCCCAACCGCAAAGTATCCCTGCAGTGCTTAACCACGAAGTATCCTCGCAGTGCCCAACCGCAAAGTATCCCTGCAGTGCTCAACTGCAAAGTATCCCTGCAGTGCCCAACTGCAAAGTATCCTTGCAGTGCCCAACTGCGATCGGTTCGGTGCCTTTTCGGCTGTTGCGATTCCACGGCATGCGGTTGTGGCACATTCGGTTCCAACAATGCATTTCTCTATTTCATGTAGAGGCAAATGCGGCAAAACGCCTCCGCGTCCCGTCTCATACAGCTGCCGCTCCAGTTCAGATTCATGGAGGCCAAACATTATGGCCCCCTGTTTTATGCAAAGCGGCAGTTCACTGAAATGGGCGGGGTGTGGCTCTGCCTAGATATGGGAGGGGGCTTTCTTTGGTTCACAGATTCATAACGTTTAGGACCCATAACATTGCCTTTGCTTTTTTGCATCCCGTTCATTTGTGCCTCCATTCGCGCATCCCCATGTTTAGAAAAAACAGGGCTGCACCCCCAATGTTTGAATCCCGATCATTGGAATTGGCTTCGTAACTGCAGCTTGCCGGCCTTAGCCAGAGTGGAAATAATGAAAGTGGCAGCCTTCGCGAAGCTACGCCTTTTGCCAGTTTTTCGAGCGGGGTTCCGCCGGTTCCTCGAATACGAACCAGGACGCTACCTTTGCTTTTTTTGATAGCGATGCAACCTTCCCAACGTCGCCGCTGGTCGTTGCGTAGTGAACGACTGCTTGGGAAAAATGATCAGCTTGTGGCCTTGGATGCGCAGCCACTTGGTATTCAACGCCTTTCGGATATGTCTGTCGGAATGGTGTATTTGTTTTTTTGGCTTCTGCTTTACCCGCCGCCCAATGAATTGAGTTATATGTTTCCTGGCTGATTGGAAGCCTTTGTTGCTAATGGACGCAGTCACCTCACATGCCACTTCGTGTTGCATCAGGTACCTCTGCATTTTGAATGACCAATTTGCCGCGGTCCCATAGCCATGTGATTTGCATGGCTAGAGGCTGTGAGTTCGACATTGGTTCACAAGCTCCCTCGCAGCAATCTGAAATCAAATGTGGAAAGCCTACATGTGCTTAAGGATTTAGAGTATAGGGATGTAGGGTTCAGGGTCCAGGTATTTAGGGTGTAGAGGTTTAGGGCTTAGGGTTTAGGGGTTTGCTGGTATGGGGGCTTATGGTGTAGGGCATTTATGGTTTGGGGGTTTAGTGTGCGGGGGTTTAGGGTGTAGGGGTTTAGGGTAAACCCGATGGGTTTCCGGTTCAGGGTTGCGGGGTTGAGGGTTTAGGAGTCTAGGGTTCAGGGTTAGGGTTTGCGGTCTCAGGGGTATTCATTTGCGTTACAGAGCGACAAAATTTTGAAAACATGAACCATGCCTCGAGATAATCACATGCGATGGTGATTTGGCTGGAGCTTTTGGACATCATGTGGACTTTCCCTGAATGCCGCGTACATACACCAGCCACAAATCATGATTTCAAATTATTGCCTATTTCCATGTGATGCCAGGAGAGACGTGCCTTGTTTTCGCAATCCTGTATGGCCAGCCAACAACCGCAGATCGACACCTTATACTGTTGTATTTCCAAGCAATGTACCAGCATTGAGCATAGCATGCATAGTAGCTAAAGTTTCTTGAGGACAAAACAAGCACCTCAGATGTAGTGTGTACCGGATGGGCATGTTCGGGACGGCCGCCATTTCCTCGCATGGATGCCGTCGTCTCGTCGTGTTCAATGCTGGAACCACATGAAGTGCAATCCGCAAGATTCTGGCGTTGGTGCAAGGACACTTGGCAGATGAATTGAATCTCAGCATTCCATGGGTCACTCCAAGCTCTGCTTGCTTAGCATGAAGGAGAACCCATATTTTGTTCCCCTATGCTCAGGCACTTTCCTTGTCGCGCGGGTTTTCTTTCCGTGCTGCATCATTGTTTTTTCATGAAGTGAAATGCTGATGCCGCAGGCGCATTTGCTGGCGTTGCATCGGAAACCCTGCTTTTTCCGCTGGATTGCCTCTAGCTCAGAGTGCCATGCACATATCCAGAAAGTCTAAATTCGTGCGGCGCTCCAAGGTCTCAAGACTCGACTACAAAGTCGACATGGTTTCATAGCAACATGGCTTTCACACTGCTGTAGCGTCCACGTTTTAGTGGTAGCTGCCACAAGCGGCTTGTCTTCGAAATCGTAGGATTGGAGGGGAGGGGGGGGCGGCGGGGGTGGGGGTGGGGATAGTGGTGATGGTGGCGCTGGCGACGGTGGTGGTGGCGGTCATTGGTGGTGCTGGCGGCTTCAGCATGTTTTCAATGCTTTCAGAATCATACTGTCACTTTTGTTGCGTCAGGCAATCTGGACACCCTTGGACCGGGGCGGTTTAGGTTTTGGGGTTATTGGGGCCAAAGGTTTTTTTGTGTAACGTGCTAGGGTTTGCGGATGTCTAGGGTTTAGGTTTCAGAGAACTTGCAGACACGAGTGCTGCTGCGTGACGGGGCTTCTGGGAGTCCGGAAAACGAGCAGAGCCCGGATGCAAAAGAGTGTAGGTTTACGGTTTCAGGTTTGGTTGTGATTAGGGTTTAGGCTTTGGGGTTGTTGCTGGTTTTGGTTTTGTTTTTTGTGTTAGGGTTTGGGGTTGTCTAGGGTTTAGGGTTTAGGGTGTAGGGAGTTCAGGTTTGGGGTTGCTTATGGTTTAGGTTTGGGGGTTGTTTAGGGTTTGGGGCTGTATGCATGTTAAGGAGTTCAGGTTTGGGGTTGTTTAGGTTGTTAGGGTCTTGGGTTTTTGAGAGTTTGCGCTTTGAGGTTGTTGAGGATTTGGGCTTTGTGTAGGGTGTGGGGGTTTGGGGTTGTTGAGGGCTTAGTGTTTAGGGCGTAGGCTTCGGGTGGGCCAGGCTTTTTCCTAGGTGTGGCTTATTTTAGGTGTGGCTCAAAGCCCCTCTGATCCTCTGTCCTCTGGTCCCCTGGTCTCTTGATTCGCCGGTCTTTGGTTGCGGCTCTTGAAAGCGCAGGAATCTGCAAATTACACAGCTTTTGGGTTTTTTGAAAAACCAGGAAATCACACATTGCGATGTTCGTGGTTCTTGAAAGCTCACGAATATTGCAAACTACCATGCTTAGGGCTCTTGAAAGGCTATGAGTGTAAATAGCAGAATTTGCAGCTCTTGGCAAGCTTTTAATTTCCAGTATTTGTGCCTCTTGGAAGACGAATACTGCAAACAACGGCATCGCGAGCTTTGGAATGGCTGCACATACTGTAGTTGACAGCATGTTTCTCTGCGCAACAGGCCGCTTGAGCACGGTTTATTGTTTGGTCATCCTGCGATGGGCTCGACACGCATTGGCTCAAACCCCTGGGCCCCAAACGCTCCGCCCGAACGTCTTGCCGCAAGAAGAGGTCAGATTTATTTTGGGAGAGGCGGAAACTACTGTGACTTACAGTACGAATGGGCGTCCAGAGGGCCAGAAAACCTTTTACGCTGGGAGGGATTCTTTGAAAGAGCCCCTCTGAGTGGAACCCTTGCCGCATGAGCAGCTGAAACTTGGGCGTGTCGAGCTTCAAGTCACAAGGCGCGCCTCTGAAAGACGCAACTTCTGCCCAGGTTCCGGACCTTGGACTCATTGGGACTTAGCTCGGACAAATGGGGCAAAGCTCGGACTAGTCGCACTTAGCTTGGAATAATGGGATGTGGCCTGGACCATGGGGCAGCGATAAGATTATATCACAACTCCTCACACCTGTGCACTAATGGGGGGCATAGCTTGGACTAATGGACCGTAGCTTGGACTAGCTTGCGCTAGCTAATCACACGTAGCTTGGACTAATGGGACGTAGCTTAGACTAATCACACGTAGGTTGGACTAATGGGACGTGACCTGGACTAGTGGTGATAGGAGAAACTGACTAAGAACTCCCCACACCCCAGGACTGATGGGGCGTAGCTTGGACCAATGGGACGTACGTAGCGTGGACCCGGGCGATGATAAAACTAAATCAGAACTCCTCACGAGTGGGGCGATGATAAAATTAAATTAGAACCCCTCACACCTGTGGATTAATGGGGGGCATAGCCTGGACTAATCGCACGTAGCTTGGACTAATGGAGCAATGATGGAAAAAATCGGAGCCCCTCACACCCTTGGACGAAGGGGCGTAGCTTCGACAAATGGGGGGCGTAGAAGGCACAAAATCGCATGTAACTTGGACGAGGGAGACACGGCTTGGACTTATGGGGTCATGATGAAATTAAAGCAGAACAACTCAATGGCTGCGCTGAAAACTACGGGCCATCTTGTGAGCAATTGCTTTTGCAAGCAGGACCCGCAAACGCGTGACCTTCACAACATGCACGTGGGATATTGTTGGACATCTGCCCCTTCATGTGATGCATAGACATGAGGCAGTCGATGTTGCTTGAAAACCGTGACCGCGTAGATCAGGCCCTTCTGTGCCTCAATGTGTGTCGCATCCCATTCTCCAGAGACACGAAGTTGTTGTCATCATGCCGTGCCTGTGCTTTCGAAGTTAGGCATGTGAAGGGCCATGCGCAACCAAGCCATTTTTTGCAAATTTTCCTGATTGCCGATCTCGTCATGGCAACTGCCGCAGGGGCCGGGCAGCGGGGGGGGGGCGGGGCGGGCACTCAGCGAAAACCATGTTGACTGCGCTGCCTGGATTGATCGATGGCCTGGTAAGCGGTTTGGCGTGGCAGGGATATGTGTGCATACTCATGCCATTCCATACAGCGATGGCCCGCATCATGGCGTTCTGACAGAATGATCCGTCCCCCGTACGGTAAAACCTCGGGCAGCGCAGTTGTGTTGGCAGAAAAGGGTGGCATATACAGGTAGCTTGGACATCGTGCCTGACAGAGGATACGCTTTGAAGCCGAGGCATCTGGCGGTTTTCGCAGTATTTATCGAGGCGTGCGCAGCCTAGATTCGGAAGGGTTGGCGACTGTGTCATGCCTGCAAAGCTGCACCTTGAATCTACGGCAAATGTACGTTTTGGGCTCCATGCTTGAACAAAGATTGAGGTTTTTGTTGCCGTTGGTGCTGCAGCACCTGCATCAGCAATTTTTTTCTCAACGTACGAGCTTCTCGGCCGTGTTCCTTTGGATACCCAGCTTTGGCTTAGTAGACAAAGCTGAGGGCCACCAAAAGTTGTTTGATGCCATATGACACTCGGCCGCCGGAAAGTGTGGTGAAGTCGTTGTCGTCTTCCGTTGCTTTGCATTCTGTGACTGCATGAATGGACATGTACAGGATCGAAGCAATTCGGCCGTGTCCTCAACTTTGGGGGCATGGTGCGATTGTGTGCAACACTTTTTGTTGTCAACACCCCTTCTCATGCCAACAGTGTATGCAGGTGTTGGCCTACTGCGGCATCGGCCTGGTTGCTTCAATCCTCGGAGAGTTGGCTGCCGGGGTATGGCGCGTTCCGGTTGACCTAGTGCCGCGTCGACATACTGCAACGTTTGATGTGCTAGACATGACAGCCTTGACAGATTGGTGGCCACGACCTGACATTTTGTAAGAGAGTGCTTGGGTGCAGGTCAAGCAGCGACAACAGGCTGGTGGTGGACAAACACTCAGCTCTGTCTTCCAAGGGGTTCGCAGCACACAAACCTCAATTTTCGTGGCTTCGCTCCAGGCAGGGTTAGTCGCGCAGCTCACATGCTCTAGGAATTGCGGGACAAGCTGTGTGGAGACAATGCAGGCATCGCTGATGCGTGATGTGACCCATAGCAGCCTGCAATTTCCGATGTATGATCCTTAGACTGATATTCAAAATTCTGTGCCAGGTGACTGGTTTAGTAGAACCTTTTGGAAATTTCAGCCTCATCCCATGTGAAACTCAGGAATACTTGAAACTGGTCTCTGCAAATTTGCATGGTGTGTCGAAGGACGCCTTGCCAACTTGGCAGGCAATGGATTGATCAGCCTGAACTTGAGAAGTCCGTCGCATACCTGTGCTTTCACTTTGTTTCACGGTTTGTTGGTTGCTTGTGTGGATTCAGACATGCGCTCTTGGTGCAGGCAGCATCTTGTGGTACAGTTCCTTGGCTTGTGAACCATTGTGCTTTTAAGATCGTCAGGCTTGGCCTGACAAACTAATTTGCGTAAATGCGTGTAAGAGTAGTGCCAGCTTCGCCGAGAATATGACAGGTTGCGGGTGTGGTGTCGGCATTCTTATCTACACCCCTGGATGCAGCTTGCTGGAAACATGTGTCGATTGCGCTGGCAGAAGGTAGAGCATAGATCCACTGCCAAAATAGTTCCCGGTGGATGGGCTCAAGGTGCTGCGCACACGGCTCAATCTGCGAGAAGACCAATGCACTGGAGCAGCCAAAAAGAAGGCCACACATTTGGTTCAGGAGGAGACCGGTTTCAGGCCTTTTGCCATTGGCATTTTTTTCACACTAGTGCTAGGGATGTTTCCTATGACCCGGATCATTGAGCCTCATTGCATGGCATGATGAAGTTATCCATACTCTACGGATCAGCACCTTCATCCCACAGGGCATGCATGACTGAGGCGCGGTTCTTTTTGGGACACAGCCCTTTTCCTGAAGGGGAACAGTGGTACAAGTAGTACTGCAGGTGCAGATGTTTGTTCCTGCAATTATTTTCTGGTGTTTCGTGACTGTCATCATCCTGGAGGAGGCCATGCTTGTCTACAGCGAGCGTGGTTTCAGAGGATTCTTCGCGGGCTGCACCTGCAGGGCGGCCTGGATGGGCCTTGGAGGATTCATTTTCCTTGGAAGTTTCGAGCTGGCAAAGACCCATGGCCAAGTCTTATTTCTCATTGTTTCTTGGTGACGATCGCAATTATTGTTCCCAGGCTTATCACCAGGGCAGCGTGTTCGCATTTTCCAAGCCAATGGAGTCACTGGTGTGCGTAGAACCGTTCTTTCATGGGTTTGGCCTGTCAAGGAAAAGCCTCGTCTCTGCTGAGCAGGACGATGTCTCACAGCAACCGCAGGTGCGGGGTGGAGAAGTTGGAATTGGAAGCAAGGGGCAGGGCCAGGGCCTATTGCAGGTGCCAGCCGTGGCGCCATCCTCACCACTGCCCTCGGAGCAGCTGGGCAGGATGCAGGCTACCATTTGGGAAAGGCTTTCTGTTTATCGCTTACCTTGAACACAGGTTCGATTCGAATCCGTGTTTCGAGCTGAGGCCAGTAGCATCGCTGCCTGGCCATCGGCAGCTGGGTCTGGAACCACCTGCGCTGGTCTCTTTCTCTTCAGGGCTGCGTCTTGGAACAACAATTGGGCTTTCATCTGCAGACTGCCAAGCAGAGCTGAGCCTGTGTCTCAGGCTGGCGGGAGTTGCTGTTGACGTACCTTTGCATCCTTTGGACACTCTGAAAACGCGAATGCAGTCTACTGACGGGATGCTTGGCCAGGTTGGACACGAAACGAGATTCCGCATCTGCAGCAGATCCGCTTAGCCTCCAACCTGACTTTCCCGAGGTTCTGGAGATCTGGCGGGTACCGGAATCTTTGGAGCGGGCTGCTTGATGGGCAGAGAGATGTGCAACAGGTCAGGAGTGGACGCAGCTAGTTTTGCTTCAAGTCAAGGCTCAGTGCAGTGCTGCTGGTCTCACTTCCTGGCAGCGCGTGACTTGGTCAAAACATGAGCTATAGGAATTGCTTACTCTACCAGCTTGCAAGCCCCTTTACAGCTATGAGACTTTCTTCTTTGTTTTGCATGGCTTGTGCTTAGAAGGCAACCTCACGTCTTCTCCTAGTATTTTCTTAAGGGCCCGGCCCTTGCAAAACTCCTTCATGTGCTCGTCTTGTGAGTGTTCAGGGTTCACCCAAAAGGGGGGGGTTCGGCCATTCTGCATCCAATAAATCCGTTCTTGTTTCCATGCCGCAGGCTTTTCTTCGTGATCTACGAATCTGCTCGACACTTCGTTGAACGGCGAATTCCAGTGTTGCTACTGCACTTAATTCTCCGTGACAGAAAAGCACAAGCCCGGAACGATGAGTTGGTTGCAGTGTAGCTTGAGGGTGGTTCACTCAAAATTAGAGGTATGCGAGCTTTGGACAGGGGGAACCTTCCTTTGGTTACAGTGCACAGTTTTCCTGTAATTAGCAGTCGAGTGTCCTCTTGCAGGGGTCGGCGTCCCGAACAACTATTTTTTTTTACCGGATTTCAGTTGTGGAGATACTTTCGATGATGAAGCCCTATCCCCCCAACCCCAAGCCCCATCCCAGAGACAGTTGCCAGCCTGTCAGAGCTGCATGTAGAGTAGAAGAAATGTGAAAGGGTACCAGAGACGAAGCCCAGCTCAGACACGTAACTGAAGGCCCCCCCCATCCCCACAGCACATCCCGCACTTTGCAGTCGTAAAAAGAAGGCACATGCCAGAAAGTTGCTAATGAAAGTGCTAAATGTAGCCCAACGTCTCCAGGCAGCTCTTCACGACAACACGCTGGCAATAGCTCGCGATGCTGTCGCTGCCTCTGTGGCCGATGTGAGCGCATGCATAGTGCGAGTTCCTTGCGACGCTCGTCTCTCTTACACTCTGATTGGTTGCAATGTTGTGCCTAAGCCTTTATTGCTCTACCAACAGGGATAAAGTTGCCTCCCTGAGTACTAGTTTGCCCTGGTCAAACAAGGAAGTATTGAAGCAAAGGATGCAAGCTCTGGGACCGAGTGGCGTTTCCATGAGCTTTTCTCAGACCGTCTCAAGTGCCAGCGGCTAAGTGACCCAGAAATGACAGCGTCAACAGATATCATAAAATGCCGGCTTTGGCCCAGGTTCATGCTGAAGGCTTTCGTGGTTTCTTTGCTGGGTTTGGAGCTACAGCCATGCGCTCCTGAGCTTCAACTTGCGCTGACTGACTGGAACGGGTTAATGTTTCGAGCTGAGGTGAAGTACCTTTCGCACTTATTCAGATGCCACTTTTTGAGGACTAGGGAGTATCTGACGAGTAGATCCATGATGTGGCCGCAGTCTTCCTTCTAGCTTGCTGAGCTACGTGTTGCGGCCAGGAGCTCAAGCATCACCACCCGTGGGCGAGAACCAGCCAGCAAGATGGCAACACGTATCGACAAGGCTTCTTGCATTTGTGCAGGAGCACACAATGGGCTGCTAACCTTACAATCGAGTCGTTTGGTTTTCAGATTTTCCTTTCAAAGTTTCTTGGCTCCTGCCCAGGGTCAGCCACTGAGAAAATCATCGACGGAAATTTGGTGACAACACCATCAATCAATAGTTTGAGCAATCCCCCGTTCTAGACAATTGTTAAGTGTACGTAGCTCTGGCACCGATTAACATTTGCCGCATTTACACGCGACATCTGGCCAGGTCTCATTGGCATGCACTGTGGCCACTTGGTAAGCATGTTGTCCTGGATTTTTCCATGGGGCGAAGGTTCTGAATGGTGTGGTATTAATATATCCACGCAGCAGGTTCCTGGATTTGGTCTTGACTTTGCCTTCAGGGCAGTTAAGCTGAGCCTTGTTTTTAAACGAATGTATGGCAGTCGAATTTGGTTGGCCAGGCTCGGTGGCTGGTGGCTTTGCTGGTGTGGCAACCACTCCTCTTGATCTTGCCAAGACACGGATTATGCTGACAGCGCCACAGATGAGAGTGAGATTTCTTCCTTTTCATGTCGGGTAGGCAGACGTGATGCGTCGTTCGGGGCCTATGAAAGTTCTATGGGCTGATCATGTGCCCGAGGAAGATCCTGGACGTCGGTTAGGCCTCTGGTGCACGATGCGAGCGATCTGCCAGGTGCTGCTACGGCATTAGAAGCTTCTGCAAAGGTGAGTTCGTACAGTACTGGGGAACCCTGTCGCCAGGATAAGTACAGTAGATACCATCCAGCCCATGACGCAATTCATTTTGCCACAGGTTTGCGCGTTCTGTGAGGTAATCTGCGCCTCATACATTACACACATTTTCTCTGCGCCCTTGCGCTCAAACTCCAGCAGCCGACCTTCAGACAGGTTTCAATTGTTCCAGCAATTACATATTCAAGATTATGGACAAACCTCTGATCAGCCCCCTCCAAGAGCTCCTAACTTCTAGAGACGTTTTACTGAAAACAGCTGCGGCCTGATGTTGACACACATGTTGGAGATTGTAATGTGCTGGCAGGGCGCTAAATGAAGCATGATCTTGTTGCAACTTCGAGACGGCACGCTCAAGAGCAAAACAAACTACCATGGTCTGTCACAGGGGCAAACAACATTAATATGGAACAGGCCACATGGCAGCCGAACTTAGGGCACAAATTATTTTGTGGAGTATGCACTGAACAAGTCTGATCTGACATCACCTTGGCATAGCTATTCACGCTGTTGTTCCCCTTCGTCTTAACACAGAGATCGGCTGAGAAGGCATCAGATTTCTGCCAATTTTCTGCTACGTAGTTGTGCCAGGCCTGCGCACTCGGCAGAAACATTTGACGAAAAGTTCATCCAACTTCATCCAACGGTGCATTCGGGAGGTCTTAGGAGGTCAGCGGGCCTGCTTAAAAGACCAGAGTTCCGGCAGGAATGGGGTATTAAGCAGCTAAAACATCCTTTTCGTGCTTGTTTGAAATCTCCAGGCTTAAAGCGACTCTCTCTCTAGATTCAAGATATCAAGGAGATGAGACCCAACGCAACTTCAAACACCGTAGAGACATGTACAGCTTTGTGGATGAACCATCGTGGGCATGCCAAACTTGAGGGCAATCCATACCCTATTATACTATAGTAGTTTCCATTTTCTTTTCCATTATTCCCTATATAACCCTTATATAACCCTAAGGATAGTGACGCTGAAGTTGCTGCAGCGCAAGCTACAAGCAACCCTTTTCAAACCATAAAGAAAGTGGAAACTACTATAATGGGTTATATAGGGTCTATAGGGTTATATTGGGATTATATCGGGATAATGGAAAAGAAAATGGAAACTACTATATGATAATCGGGTATATATTACACCGCCCAATCAAGATTAAGCAGATGCCCTTAGTTATGAGTTGCTTGTGGAGCCTCGCGCCTGCTGCTGCAGATGATGTTAGTCAATGCATGGCGCAGTAAAGGCTAAAGGCCACATGAAGCGCATGTCACCAAGCTGCTTCTTGCTGGTTTCCATTGGAGATCATTGGAGGCAAACCCTTCACCCAAAAGGCCAAGATCATGATCAAGCCTTCGCTTTCTTCTCCATTCCGCAGCTGCTAGATATTGCCTCCCATGATTGCGAAGCCGTTCAAAGCACAAACAAGGCCTAGAAGTAAAAGTAAAAACACATTCTCGCCCGCCTCATCTCCCCTTCACGAAGCGGCGCAACAGCTGGCTTTTGTATTGCAGCTCCTGTATTCTCTTTGCAATCGTGGCTTGGTGGGTCGTAGATTCCGGATCATTCTCAAGGGTTTTGGGCCTTCGTCCCGCTACTGGTCCTCACGACCTCTGCGCTGAGGCAAAAGCTGTCCACCATTCTGCAATGGTGACTCGCATCCAAGATGTCATCCTTCGTGAAACAATGGTGACATTCAGATCCCATGAAGATGGCCGTAAGTTGCTGATACTTTCTTTCGACCTCTTACACAACTTGAATCTACTCCCTACACAGCCGCCAGAACCTGAAGTCCGTTTGTCAGCAAGCCATTGCAGCTGTTTGTTTGATTTTTTTGCGGCTGCTTCCAAAGAATCTGCTTCATGCTGATTGCGGTTGTAAAGTTGGTTTCTTAGCTGCACGTCAGCCGATCAGCCGGTCAATAGGATATCCCTGCAACCATTTTAGCAGTGTCGTCGCAGGCATGGTGAGGGTGATTTCTTTCTTAAGCAAACCCTTGCCACTCCGGCTATCCCCGTTCAGAAGGCAAAGGCAGAATGCTGTTCGCAGGGCATCCCGCTTCGATTGCCGTCATGTCTCAAAAGAAAGTGCCGCCGCACGTTGCTGCAAGACAAGGTAGGCAATGAGCTCAAAAGCTCAGATTGCGTTGGGCAAGATGGTGTCAAAAGCTGCGCCTCATTGGATTTACGAAAGCTATTTGCCCGCCCCCGCCCTAGCCAGGGCCTTGTCAAGCAATCTAACGAAGGGATGCTGATGCCCGTCTTTGGTTGAGGTCTTGCTTGATGCATGTCACCAAGCAACTGTTTGGGGAATTCTGTCGTCTGAGCCTGGAAAGAAATTCCATGAAATTCCCGTACTGGTTTGCAGTAGTTCGACTCATGATGGTGGTTGCACTTTTTGGTTTGTTGCTTGGCGCTCGCTGTTGGTCGTTTGTTGTTTGTTGTTCGCTCTTTGTTGCTCTCGTTTGATCAGCAGTGGAATATCCAAGCCTATGTACCAGCTAAACAAGCGACGTTGATGCTCTAGAGATCAGCTGAATTGAACCTGAACGGAGACTCTTCGTTTCAGTTCTGAAGTAAATCCTTGGGGGAAGTGCTACACAGAATGTGATGCAATACCATGCGCTGAGTTAGGTGGAGGGAATGTGTAGGTGAGATAAAGATGTGTTTGCATTGGACCATGTGTGAAATCGCTTAAGCATGTGTTGAGTTCTGGAGATGGGCGGGCCCAACATACCGCTGTCAGCTGTGGTCTTTATTGAAGACCAATCTGTGAATCACCCTCTTGGGCGTTGAGCAGCACATGAAGTGCCCAACTTTCGGGAAATAGTTGCAGTGGGAATAGCTGCGCGAGCACAGCTAGCAGTGGCTACCTTCGCTCCGAGACGACCGTGTACTGCATTCATCTGCATTCTCTCCCCTGCCAGTGAACTGTTGGGGAAGCATTGGTTGGTAGCCTCTGATGCTCGTTTAGCTTGCTGCTGTGGTCGGAAACTTGCGGCGGGAGTAGCTTCATGTCATGCTGGCATTGCAGGAGAGCGGAATCTGGGGCCTTTTCCGCGGAGCTATACCCAGGGCTCTACATTCAGGCACGCAGGATGCAGGTTTTGAATTATCGCATGTCACAGGCCTGTGGGTCTCGAGTGTCAGGCTTGGGTGGCGCACTGTGGCTTGGTGCATTCGAGTGGTCTAAACTGCTTCTTTGGTCCAGCGATTACGATATGCGAGTGAGTCCCCTTCACTGATTCACTGGAGTCATTAGAGCTTTTAGAAGCCAAGTTGGTGCCCCGTGCAAGAGATGTAACATGATTGTCCTTGATGGCAACCAACAAACTTGGAACTTTGACATACATGAGACTATGCAATCAGCAAGTCGCGGGGGACGCTGACGTCCCTCTCGGAATGCTTCTAAGAACATCCCGAGAGACAGGTTGCCAGCTCGACAGAATGTCGGAGAACAAAGCTTGGAGTTAGTGCAGAATGTCTGCAAGCTTGTGGCAGTGTCAAACGCTCGCGCTGTCATGAATGCCAGCACAATGTGTGCCACACCGCTGCCGACTTGTCCCTGAACTGCCATTTGGCTTGCTTCGCTGCTGATTCAGGGCTTTGAGATCCTGAGGGGCCGTGCCAGGAGACATGTCTACAGTGTCATGCCGCGGTGCCTGGCTGAAGCGTGCGTTTTAATCTCACAGAAGCATGCACATTCATGCAGCAGTCAGCAACCAAGCACGTTGAGCATCATGTGCAAGCCAGTGTAAGCTTTCCAGTGACAAGTGACAGACTGTCACCATGACAGACACACTTCACAGAGGCAGTAGACTCAGCATCCACGTGAAGTTGTCACGTTCAATACCACATGTTGCTTGATGGCCCTGCGCGGGCCACTCTGTCTCCAGTTCCTGAGACAGTTCCCGGCGGCCCAAGCCTTCTGGGTGTAGGCACGGGTTACCGCAATGAGTTTTATTTGGAAGGGCGGTGAACTCCTGTGGGATGTCGCGACAGGGGCAGACCGATCGCGCATTCTCCGGCAGCTTCCACCTGTTTTGGAAGGCCTGGAGCTGTCTACTACCATTGGCTGAGATCAGCCTTCACGCAGCTTTTGCCGCATCTATCTTGAGGCGATGTCACTCCTTCTCGGAAAGCACCCGCGGACTCGTCTCGATCCGCGGCTAATTTGAGTCCGGAGCTTGCAAAGCTGGTGATTTTGGCGTAAACTTTGTCTCTTACTGGTCGCTCAACTTATGAAGTGAAGTCACGGGGTGTTCGAGGTGCCACCGACACCAGCTTCCGGCCGGTAAACGAAGCCTGGCCTTCTGACAGCGAGGCTTGCATCAGGAGGAATGCAGGACACGGTGTCCGCTGTCTTTTGTAGGCAAGCGCCAGCGAGTCCACTGTTACTACAGCATCCCGAATTGATTGAGCTCGAGTGACTTCGGAAGAAGGCAGGTATGCATGAGGCATTTGTTTTGATTGCGAGATGTTGCCGAGGCAAGCATTGCAGAATCCACAAATGCTGTCACCGTAGCGAAGAACGTGAGACGGATGACGGAGCCGAATGTACAGCCCGCAGCGATGCATGGCCATTTACCGTCAAACTTTTGTTGCGTGTACACTTCCCTAGGTCTAAACGGCTGTCTGCTGTTGAATCCTCGCACCAGCCTTTGATGTTTTTTTGTTGCTGTGAGGAAGAAGAGTCCTCGTAGCTATGGTCTGGGCCACCCGGCAGAAGCTAACCATGGCATAGCACATCTAGAGGACTTTGGAATGCGCATAAGCTGAGCTTTCCGCCTTTTTTCAGCCTTTGAGATTTAGCTGTAAGCCTTCAAGCAGTTCGAAGGCAAGAACACTTCATCGAGGAAGCTGCCTCCTGGCAAAATGGCCAGCTTACGCTTGTGACATGCTTGTGACATTTCTATCATTGCAAATGACTTGTTGTGTCTTAGACAGAGCCGAGAGCAAATCTGGGAGCGCGTGTGGGTATCTCAAATTGGTCCAAGGAGCAAAGCATCTCCCGGAGCAGCCAGTTCAGGTGATTTCAAAGCAGACACTCGCGTAGATAGCTCAGAAGAGCAGTGGCTTGGCAGAAGTGTTCCGGGATTTCAAAGCGCACTCCCGGGTTTCGCAGAGAATGCGAATTCTTACCAAGGAACGCGTCTTCCAAGCAGAGGGCCATGAGGTGGCGCAGTTCTTCCTTACAGTTTTGTTCCTGCAGAGAAAGGCGGTGATAAGGCATTGTGTGCGGTCAGCTGTGAAGGCGGGCGGCTTCAGAACCTCCGCGGTCACTGTGCGACGAGGTTCGCAAGTCAGGACTTGCGCCTCGCTTCTGCTTGTATGGTAGGTTTCTATGTTCCAGACCACGGACCCAATGTGTGGAATGCAGGATCGCCAACTCCACGGCAATCCCAAGTTTCTTTGGCCACGCCTCCCCGCACAAAGCGTGCATCCATGGGCGAGCGGCCAGGCCGCCGTGATACATTCGATTTCAAGACGTTTGAGAACTGTAACTCAGTGGCAGGCAAGCTGCAGAAGAGCCCGCAACCTTTGGCAGTGCAGATCCCAGAAAATGTCAACCTGTAGAATCTTGCAAAGCTATCAAAGTTGTCAAGGTCGAAGCCAGGAGCGAGTCCAGCCTTCGTGCAACCTCGCAGAAGGCTCGGCTTAGTGCCAGCAGCAACTTGGCTTGAAATGTCACATTCATGCTCATGGCCCAATACATCAGCAGCTGAGCCCCAGAATCGATGGTTTGCGGCTTGCAGGTTGCGCCGCCAGCCTTTTGGTTCAACATTTGGCTTGCCAAACATGGTTTGGATTTTTGGCACGCTAAGATCGCAGCCGCTAGCATCGGAACACATGTGCCAACGTGTGAAGCTGCATCCACAGAATAATTTTGAGCAGCAAGCAGAAAGTCTGGTCAAGTCCTACTGTGCTTGGGTGCGCTGGTATAGTGCTGGTATGATACATCATGACCCATGCCGGGCGCATCTGCCGACGATCTGAAACGCTATATCCAGGAGCTACTTGTGCGCGGGGTGCTTGCTGTCCATTAATGAGTGGGCAGACTGCTGACTGGGCCAAGTCTTCAGGATGGTTTCCGCCGTTCCTCTGCGCTGCTGGATGCCACGCTTATCACTGCTGAGGCAGGGCAGGACTTTCAATGCAAAGGTGTGTGAATTCTGAGAGCACTGAAGTTGTGATTCAGGCCGGTGAGTTTGAGCGGGTCCAGTTTCCGGCCGGCTTCATCACAGAACTGGTTTCAGCTCGCTATGGCACGCTTGATAAGCCGTTTGAGGAGCTCAGTAGGCCAACCACACGATAGCAGCTGCTGGCATGGGGGTTTTTCAATGAAACCGCGCCGCCGCGGTTGCTGCCTGCAGGACTGGGCTGATGTCACTGAACGGATCGGAAGAGATCTGTTGGAAGGCTAGCTGTCGGACATGAGTAAGTGTAGTCTGCTGGAGTTGGGGTTGCAAATGCTTGCGCCGATCTATTCCCAGGCTCCGTGCTACACGTGACCAATGAGAGGATGGGTCTCGACCCCAAGATCGGCTGCAGGCCAGTCCGGCTCCATTGGCAGGGTCTGCAAAGATAAGGAGCTGTACAATGCTTTGTCTGTTCCTGGGCCAGCAGGCACGACAAAATTTCAGAGGAATCAGGATTAAAACCCATTGGCCCCACCCCAGTTTGTAAACATGTGCGAGAGTGGCTTCAGGCAAGTACGAAGGGCGTCGCTAAGAGTACATACGAGAAAGAGTCTCATAGTAGGCACCGTGCTCGAAGCAAGGGACTGGAGCCTTGGCCAAGACTTTGCGCGCCACCTCCAAAGCAAATTGGGAAAATTGCAATTTCAGCTGGTTTGTTGCCCCAACTTTGGGCTCCTGCCTTGCAACGGCAAATAGGCAGAGGTCATAGCACAGCGACTTTACCACCATGTAAGCAACTACACAGCAGTTTTCCATTGGTTCTGGCAGATCAGCCTGTCTCTTTCTCAAAGACTCCAGATACACCTGCTGCAGCGCACAGAGAGACCCACAACACCATGGAAAAAGTCCGCCAAGGGTTGTCTGGCAGCCAGCCCCGAAATGCAGCAGCTGATTTTGTAGCTGCAGAGGCCCACTGGCTGGCCGGCACATTCTTACACGGCCCAACAGCAGCAGCAGCAGCAGCCAAAACAGATATAGGGCACGCATCAAATGGCACACGCTCATAAAAGTTGGGATAGCAAGGGGTAGAGGACATGCTGGCAAGAATCGGGCAACAGCAACAGGCAAGACACGGCTAATCAAGAGGAACCAATTGGCTTTGGCGATCCAAGCATACACAGGCGTCAGCATGGATTGCAGAGTGGGCATGAGACGGGCGCTGCGCGGGCAAAAAAGAGATTGCGAAGACCAGGTACTCTCAAACATGTCAGCTGCTCCAGTGCGACCAAGGGAGGGATGCAACGACATAGCGCGGTGCGGTTCACGGAACCCTTAACCCAAAACCAATCGAGAAGTGTACCAAGTTGCAAAAAATCCAAAACCTCCCAATGACCAAAGTCCTGTTGTTTTAGAGGATTCCTGGCATGATGCCTTGCAATGCTGACTCAACACCTCAACCAAAGCAGCGTCGACGACGACTGCGGCGGCGACGACAGCAATCCCGTAACACTAGTGGTCTCATACCTGAGTTTATGTGCCAGTGTGTGGATGCTGGTCTATGATTATTGGCTACTCAAACGTGGAGGTAGAGACTCAGGCCCACCAACCTGTGGATCGGACCCTATGGGATTGGGTATAGCCTCTGTTCCGAATCTCCTGTGTTGTTATTTGTTTTTTTTTTTTTGCCCACTACGATAGATGGTGGCATGTGAAGGGCTGGCCGCTGCTCGTAATTGGGGTTCCGGGATGTTGCGCGATGCATACGGAGGGACGAGTCTGAAAGTTGAGGGAGAAAGTTGGAGACACGAGTTGGCAGACCTTGAGTGGCAACGCTGTGAAAGAAGCAAGACTTGTGAACAACAGCCAGGAAGGTGCTTCGCATCCAGTATAAACACATCAGCGAGATGGTAGAGGCCGAGGTGCAAGAAGGTCAAGGCCTGCCAGCTGCATTTGGAGTTGCCCACATGTGACTTGTGGACGCATACCTGTACAGAGGTTTGGAGCTTCCGCCTGGAGGTGCTGAAGGACTTTCTAAGTTGATCTAGTTGATGTAGGTCCATTCTGCTGACGGGCTTCTGCAGCCTTGAGAAGTTCCCTGGCTTCGGCACTTGCTGTTGTGGGAAGGGTTGCCAATGGAGTGTACTACACTTGAAGTTTGCCATAGCCGTTTGATGTTTACGCAGCCAGAGGACTCGTCAGCGCAGTCTATGGCGTTCCCGGCAAGATGGTCGATGTGATCCTTGGCTGCAGTGCTGCTTCGAAGCAGTCATAGAGATGCAGCCTGAAAATGCAGAATTGGCCTGTTCAAGGATAGCGCCGCTAAGACAGCTGCTGCTGAGTGGGCAGGAGGTGTCTGTGTCCAACGAGGAGAGCCCCCAGCGTCTAGAGTAAAGAATATGTATTTTAGAATTTCGGAGCCAGGGGCATCCATTCCAAACGTTGAAATTTGAACTTCTGTAAGGAGTTTGGCATCGACCCATGCCCTGGACAAGTGAAGACACTGCACGTCGAATACCATCCGAAGCCTCGGTTCACCTTCCGGCTCGAAACGGGCACGAAACTTAATTGTGCAACTTCTCCTCCAACCTTAAGTTATCAGCCAGTCCATCTTGGTAAGGTGGCGAGCTGGCTGCTTTCGAAGTGCTGGCAGTCTCCCTCTTTGCTTCGTTGCTGCAGACCTTTCACACCAGCCATGCTGACCTTCTGCGGTCAATGGTGTCTGGCCAACTCCTGGGTGGCACGCCGTTCGGCTGCAATTTGTCTAAGCTGAGAAGACACGCTCGCCGAAAACGCGGTGTCAGGACCGAGGCCTCTGGCAAGTCTGGCGAGTTGTTTTGGCGGACCTTCGACCAGAGATACGTGCTCAAGACGGTTTCGAAGCAAGAAGTTGGACAGCTGATCAAGATGCTGCCCGAGTACGAGGATGCCGCTGGTGTTGCTTGAATTGTGGGATAGTGATATGAAGCCTGTCATGCGAGTGCAAGTATGCTCGTTTGAGCCAGCGACAGAACACCAGCAAAGGGCCACATGTCTCAGCAGGATGGAGGGGTGCAGAAGAATGGGTTTCCGGGAAGCTAGCACCTAGAAATCCTTTGTGGCGGCGAGTGTTTTCTGTTGCTTTGGGTAGGCAGAGCTTCCGTGGCCAAAGCATGATAACGTCCCTTCCGGTCACCGGACCATCTGAGGCCATCTAGTCGCCAGAGCATGCATTTCCCAGATCAAGAATGTTCAGCTGAGTACGTTCTCATGTTACATGTTACCAGAGCATCCCCTTCCCAAAGGCCTATGCCCAAACAAAAATGTGCAGGCTACCAGAGTATCCTTTTCAGAGTGCCCATCTCCCAGAACATCCCCTGCCCAAGCTATTCTAGCAGGGCATGCTACTTGAGCATCCATCTCGCTGAGCATCCATGCCCAAATCATTCAGAATCACGCACATGCTTTAGCGTCATGCAGTACAGGTGACCTGCTATTTGCTTTGTAGAGCTATGTCTTCTCCTGAGCTGCAAGCCACGCAGGTGCCCAGCAAGCAAAGCAGTGAAAACCAGGAAAGGACCCAGACCCACCAGCCCAGCTCCCAGCCCTTAGCCCCCCCAATCCTTCAGCCCCCAGTTTTACAGCTCCCAAGTTCCCCAGAGCAACAGCACCACTGGCACCAGCAGCCCCCGCGCCCACGCCTGCGCCCACCCGCCCCCGCACCAGCAGCACCACCAGCATTACCACCAGCACCACCAGCCCATGATGAGTACTAGTTATGCATCGCAGTACGAACACCTGATCTGCGCGACGACGACGACAAGTGCTGCTGCTACTGCTGTCCCTGTTATTGCTGTTGCGTCCGCATGCTACTGCTACGCCTACTGCCACTGCTACTGCCATTGCTAGAGCAACTGCTACTGCTATTAATAATCTTGCTACTGCCATCATTGCTGCGTACCACCATTACTGCTGCTGCTGCTGCTACTACTACTACTACTACTACTAGGCATACTTTTGGTATTTGACGGCTCTCTTTTGTGTGCTTCTTTGTCT